AAGGAGCTAATTCAAACGACTGTAGAAAACGTTTTGTATGTACCTAATTCTAGAGCTCATCTGTTGTCAGTCAGCAAGGCAGCGAAGAAGAACCATGTGTTTTCTGCTGACAATCTTGGATGTAAATTTACCATAAATGGTGTCACTCACAATTGACACCTGTTCTAAAAATTGACAATGGCAGTGCTGTGAAACTCATAAAGAACCCTGAGTTTCATCGCAGAACGAAGCATATCGAAGTTAAGTATTACTTCGTCAGAGAAAAATTCTTGGAAGGACTTGTTGATGTTGAACATGTAGGTATCTACAACATATCAACTTGCCGACATCCTTACTAAACCTCTCAATCGAGTAAGGTTTACACAGCTTAAAGTAAACATTGGACTTTGTGACATTTAGTTTCAAAATTGTGAAGGGAGTATTGGAACATTGACAATTTTGCCTCTGAACTGTTTCAATATCATATGTTTTACTTTTTATATTAAGCTGTGTTCATGTTTATGTTTGTGTGATCAAAATAAAAGTGTGAATTCCTTTCTTTAATATATTTTGTTTCTCATTAATTTAAAAGTTTATTCTTATAAGTAATCAACAGAAAGAATGCCTTGGACAAGTACGTATCAATAGTACTTTCGTATAAAATTGGTCTGTAAAGAGGTGGTGGCCTTTGTCGAGGAGACCACTCTTCTCCATCACCTCCAACACACATTTTTCAACAAAAGGCCCTGGTTTATCTTGGAGGAAATGTGTACCACTGTACATTTCAATATGTAAGACATAAACTAACTGGTTGCAGAGTCACATGTTTCAAATTTTTTAATCCCGAACTGTTTGTGCTTCTTCTTCGGTAGGTACTGTATATAGGCGCAACGGTTTTTCATGCCTATAAGGCTCTCATCGAGGCAAACATTTTGACCAGGGATAAAGTACTTCTTGAATTCCCAATTTAGATGATCTAGTAGGTATCTTGCCTTGAACCAAGGGTCGAATTTGGGATGGCCTCGAGGAAATCCATTGTGGGTGGTCAGCTGTAGGTTGGACAAAATAAGTACAAACTTATTGCAGCTCATTACTCTAGAAAAAAATGGATGAGTCTGCGATTCCCTAGTGTCCCAATAGCCTTTGACACTTTTTGTCCTCCATAGGCCCATGTTGATAAATAAACCAAAGAACTTTTTGATATCTGCAATAGTGCAATCAGCCTATCTTTTCAGCCTAGAGTGAGGGGACAAGTTGCCGCGTTTCTCCTCAAGTTTCTTTTTAGCGGACGCATTGGTACACCTACAGATAATATTCCAAATGGCCTGGGTAAAAATAAAATAGATTAAAGTAATCTATTGGATTACTATTCCAAGGGGGAAGATCTTGAGGGCCAGTGTTCCTCCTTGTAAATTTCGACTCTATTTCCTTTTCTGGCTCCGGTGGATACACACGAATCCAAAGCTAATTTGGAGGACGTTTTTTCTTTTTCTTTGGCCTAGGCCCACTACTGCTAGGTGCATTACTAGTACTAAGTAAACTTACTAGTTCTTCAGGCTCCCCAAGATCGTCGACAAGTTCCTCCCTATCACATGTGTCCAAATCATCAAAATTGGGAACGTATTCTTCCCCACTTCCACTTGAGAAGTCCAACCAATCTTCGGAATCAGTTTCCTGAGGGGGTACATCTATATCAAAGTCATCTTCAATGTTATCATCATCAATGTTATCATCATCAATGTCACTTATTTCTTGGTCTAATAACTCTCTTATTTCACTTGAACGCAAATCGTCACCCATTTCGAAACATAACAATAAACACGAATACAAACAAACTCTTGCAACCATACCGACAGCAGAAACTAAACATATGCTCTGATTTTTAGTCACAGACGAATAGAAAACTCGCGAAAATGGCCATCATATTTAGTTGACATGAAGCCCTGAAATCCCCTGAACGTGTAGATATGCGTAGTGAGCCGATTCTAGCGCTGGTATGGTTTTAAATTGAGCGAAACCGAGCGAATGTACAGTCGCCCGAAATCGGGCGATTGACACTCGGCGGCCAAAAATGATCGCCCGAAATTGGGCGATTGACACTTGGAGGGTTAACAGTTGTGCAACAGGAAGCCTTAAAGACTCTTATGCGAGAAGCCCATAAGAAGAAAGAAGACTTTGATTCTTATTTTCATCAAATTGTAAGTAGGCTACGTCAAGTGAAGATGAAGACCAAATCAGTGAACTATTCATCCACATCACCAGCTACATTAAAGTGCTGCTTTCAGAAATTGGTTATTCTAACCCTTATTTGGCCAAGGTTAATTGCAGTCCAGCTCAACCTCAGAGAACTACTTCAGTGAATGTAACCAACCGAACTCATCAAGACCAGCTCAACCTCAAGAGAACCACTGCAATGAATGTAACCAAACCAAACTCATCAAGTCCAGCTCAACCTCAGAGAACCACTGCAATGAATGTAACCAAACCGAACTCATCAAGTCCAGCTCAACCTCAGAGAACCACTGCAATTAATGTAACCAAACCAAACTCATCAAGTCCAGCTCAACCTCAGAGAACCACTGCAATGAATGTAACCAAACCGAACTCATCAAGTCCAGCTCAACCTCAGAGAACCACTGCAATTAATGTAACCAAACCAAACTCATCAAGTCCAGCTCAACCTCAGAGAACCACTACAATGAATGTAACCAAACCGAACTCATCAAGTCCAGCTCAACCTCAGAGAACCACTGCAATGAATGTAACCAAACCGAACTCATCAAGTAAAGCTCAACCTCAGAGAACCACTGAAATGAATGTAACCAAACCGAACTCATCAAGTAAAGCTCAACTTCAGAGAACCAAACTGCAATGAATGTAACCAAACCGAACCCATCAAGTCCAGCTCAACCTCAGAGAACCACTGCAATGAATGTAACCAAACCGAACTCATCAAGTAAAGCTCAACCTCAGAGAACCACTGCAATTAATGTAACCAAACCGAACTCATCAAGTAAAGCTCAACCTCAGAGAACCACTGCAATGAATGTAACCAAACCGAACCCATCAAGTCCAGCTCAACCTAGGAGAACCACTGCAATGAATGTAACCAAACCGAACTCATCAAGTCCAGCTCAACCTCAGAGAACCACTGCAATGAATGTACAACCAAACCGAACCCATCAAAGAGTTTCAAACCAAAGGTACCTAGCTTATACAACCTGAAACAAAACTCATCACAATAAAGAGGACGGTGGCAAACACTATGCCTAAGTTCGCAAACTCAAAAACTATAAATACCACAGTGACAGTGACAAAACCTCAACCGAAGAATACAGATACAACAGTGAGCTCAACTACCTTGACAAGTGACAGTGCTACTATCCATCCTACCAACACTGCTGTCATCTTAAGTGACCATGCTGTTATAAACCCTACTGATAATGCTGTCACCCATCCTACTGACCGGGTTGCTATCCAAACGACAGACAGTGCTGCCGTTAACCCAATCCACAGTGAAACCACTACAGTAAAGACAGTCAAGCAATCCAGTCAAGTGGTTATATCTTCCGATGGAGCTCTGACCAATAGCTACTCTTCATCGCAAACTACAGAGGAAACGCTCAGCCTCCAATATCAACTTGTTGAATTGTTGAAACAAGAATGCTTTAAATTGAGGAAATGGGGTGATTAGCGTTCCATTAACTGAACTTCTTTACCGTTACTGTATCAGATCATGAAAGCAGGCTCAAACATTTCTTGCGAAGAAAAGAAGACCAACATTCTCAATAGGCCTACCGTATAGCCTAAGAGTTTGTCTCATTGGACAGGACACATCTTGGAATATTGTCATATATTCAAGTGCCAGAGAACGGGTCTGGTCTGAAGATTCACCCCTTTTTGGCTCTAACAGTGATTTTCATACACAGGTTCCCTATCATTAGCAGTGAATGAGCATGTATGGGTAGATTGCAAATCCACCAGACAAAAATTCTTTTGCAGGCACTCACAATAGCCTATTTAGGGCATACCATCTACAGGGTAAAGGAGGAGGAGTCAATTAGTAAATTAGGGAATAGGCCCTAAGTTGACACAACCTAAATAGTAAATTCTATGTTCTACTGCATTGATTCAGCAGCATCCAGATAGTCTAATTGTAAGCCCTCAAATTATAGTGAAGGACTATCATATGTCGTTCGTAATAGCATTCATGAGTATGTGTAATGTGTAGTGTATGTGTTATGAGAGTTGGTGCAGACTCACCCTCATTTTCACCCTCATTCACTACGTGGATGAGAGTTGGTGATAATGCGAATAATACGTTTTTGTAACCTGAATATAGATATTATACCAGTAGCTTGACCCCATAAAATTATGCCATATCTTAATACAGACTTCACATGTGCATAATAAACGACTTTAAGTGTCTCAATAGAAACACAGTCCCTTTAATGAATGAATAAAGATGATATCGACCTAATTTTGGTATGTAAATAATTCAAATGTGAATGCCATTTAACTGTGTCATCTACATAAACCCATAAGAATTTGTGAGCTTCAACTAAATTAAAAGAACAGTTTTCCGTCTTGTATCTAGTACAAAATTTAATTTTTGTGATTTTTATTTCTAGTAGGTAATACAGTATTAGTTTAAATTCAACATTAAGTTTTAATCCATTTTTAAAAACCATTGCTCCTGCTTTCATCAAATAGCTTTTGTACAATCAAGTTTTCCTTAAAAAGGGATTTTTCAATGTTACTTGTGTCTGATACAAACGTGCTAAGAAATCGGTTACTAAAATAAGATACGGAAAGTAAATAAAACAAAAAAATAAATAAAAAATAATAATAATAATAAAGTAAATAAAGTAAGTAAATAAGTAAATAAGAAAAAGTAAAATAAAAATATACTTTCCGTAAATTTAATAACACGTAGGCCTACAATGCTGATCAAGAAGTTATTTAAAATAAGATGTCAATAGAATTTGTTTTCAACTACACCAACAGAAAAGATTACTCACATTTGTATGGAGGAATTACACCGTTTTCTTGTAGAATATCAAGAAGTCTCTCGTCAATTTGGGGTTTTACTAGTGGAGATTTATTCCCTTCAACCAAGGATTCCTTTAAATATCGGAGCACTGCAACAACATACACCATATAAGATTGGGCATGGAAACCTCATGAGAAATGTTGATAAACATGTTTAATTTTTTTTATAAATTGTTTAAGACGAAAAGTACGGCCCTGGTGGCTAAGTCCAGGATGTATTCTCTGAAGTTTGTGGAGGGCATTACCCACTTCAGCCCTAGCATTAAAATCACCAGCAACGACGCTATGCTCAGCGGTGCCACACACAATTTCTTCTTGGAGGTTAATCTTCAGAAGGAATTTCCCAATAGGCTCGTTGGGGCCTGGGGGTAAGGTAGACTCTAAGAAATGTGACGTCCTTAAACCTGATCCAAACGAACACTGACACCTACGGTAATAACTCCTTCCCTATAGGGGAAATTCGCTTAAGGAAAATACTGTACTTACTTTTACGTTTAGCACTAGTTTTCATGTCTGAAACCTTTTTCCGTACATCGGTGTATGTTCTCTTGGTAGGAGAGATGATATTAACATGCTCAGCTATTTCAACCCATGCCTTCCTCTTTAGTTCCATGTTCTGTTGGGGATTTGTGTTATTTTCTAATATATTTTTTCTTCTCACGTACTCATCCATGATAACATGGATTTCTCTGTTAGTATAGTGTGCTGATCGTTTAGTTACTTTGTTACTGCTGGTCATTCTGTACTTTATTGGAGGACTCAAATCTGTGAACAGTTTGAAAGATAAATTATTCAATTATTACTTTATTTTTTTAAATCTTTACATCATTACTACATAGGCCTTTGCACTTATTTTATTTATAACTTTTTATAATTACAAGCTTGTATGAGTGAAGACATTTTTATGCCTCCCTTGAGACAATAACTTTAATATAATAAAATAATAAAAACTGATTATTTATTGTGATTAAGAAATTGTAGTTGATTACAAAAGTTCAAATTCAGACATTTCTTGTTTAGTACTGATGGTACTCTCTTTGGTTTTTCTATCTCCTCTTCTTGCCATCACGCAATCGTTACAAAAAACCAGAATAGTTGGCTGACATAGCTTAAATTTATATTTAAGTTGTAAACATAGAAAAAACATACTAAATAGGCTATGCATGCAATTTCAACAAACAATGATTATAACGGAGCATAACTAATTAATGGAATTAAAATTAGGATGATGTTTTTTCTCTAGCCAACGATCAGGTGAGCGTTGTAGATGTAGAAGTGGAGGGGGTCCTGTTAGCCCCCCCCATTTGACAAAGCCATAGAACTGACACTGTAGGCTATAGTTATACAGTAGATAATGCACTAACTAAATGTATGCATAACTAACAGTACAACCAACGTGTAAACATAAATTTTATGTGCACTTGTTTGTTGTTACTCTTATTAACATGGCAATAAGCCCGCCGGAGCAATGTTGCCATACAGCAACGCCGAGACCATGTATTAGAGGCTATGTTCATAGTTTTGATCAAACGAATAGAAAGTGAATGTAGTTAACACTATTGGCACCATAACACAATGAAAATGAGCAATTGTATGGTCATTGCTTATGCAGTGTGAGAAGATCACCTTAAGCTTAAGAGGGTAGGTAGTCGGTAAGCTTAATCTTGATACATTAAACTTTCAATAGTTTGACTCTCGATAGTTCGACACTCCTTGTAGTTCGACACGGGCTGAGCTATTTTGTCAATTGATTTTAATGGTTACTATTGTGATGTAAGCTGACTTGAACATTAATTTGTCATTTATTGTCGACTTGAGACTTAAACTAATGAACAGTGAAATTGTTAAGCTTTTTAGTACCTATTTAATAAATTTGGGTGATTTCTATATTGTTCTCCCTTTCCTGTACATAATAAACTCCATTTGATTCCTATAGTTCAACAGAACTATCGAGGTTCTACTGTACTGATAAAAAAAAAAACTTTTAAACAATAATTAATAACTGTGCATTCATTAGGCCTACAACTGTGCTACTTAAATTTTAATTGGGATGGGGGCAATTATTTGAGATGCGGATGCCACCTAGGTGCATATTTTAACCCAAATATGAGCGAAGAATGAGTGTAGAATGGTGTGAGAGGATATGTGTAGCTTTTTTACTGACTACGATTAGCTGGTTCATCAGTCAGATCCAGGTCTTGAGAAACAAACTGTGATTAGCGTTCCATTAACTGAACTTCTTTACCGTTACTGTATCAGATCATGAAAGCAGGCTCAAACATTTCTTGCGAAGAAAAGAAGACCAACATTCTCGATAGGCCTACCGTATAGCCTAAGAGTTTGTCTCATTGGACAGGACACATCTTGGAATATTGTCATATATTCAAGTGCCAGAGAACGGGTCTGGTCTGAAGATTCACCCCTTTTTGGCTCTAACAGTGATTTTCATACACAGGTTCCCTATCATTAGCAGTGAATGAGCATGTATGGGTAGATTGCAAATCCACCAGACAAAAATTCTTTTGCAGGCACTCACAATAGCCTATTTAGGGCATACCATCTACAGGGTTAAGGAGGAGGAGTCAATTAGTAAATTAGGGAATATGCCCTAAGTTGACACAACCTAAATAGTAAATTCTATGTTCTACTGCATTGATTCAGCAGCATCCAGATAGTTTAATTGTAAGCCCTCAAATTATAGTGAAGGACTATCATATGTCGTCGTCGTAATAGCATTCAAGAGTATGTGTAATGTGTCGTGTATGTGTCTCCAAAACTTCAAGACGCTAACCTAATGGGGATGTTCAAGATAAATATTAGGACTGACGATGGCCATATAATTTCGCCAAAATGCATCTCCTGTAATAGGATAAGTTACAACAGTTGATCGACCGGCAGACACTTGTAATATAACCTTTTATTGATTGTCACACCGATCTGGAACAACAAAAAATGAAGTAATAAATAAACCTACCACATAACATACCACATAGTAGTGTAATAGCTATTTACATTACAAGTGTAGTAAGAGCGTTTTTACATCACGCAGGTGAAAGTTGCATAATTTACCTAAGTGATGTAAACACGCTCTTGCGTAACGTGTAACGTACAAGATTTTACCTGACCCGACAGTATACAGGAGGTTACGAACAATATTTTTCATTACCCATTTCACTCATCTTATTACAGTAAGGTTCATTTACAAACAAAAGCTAGGTTAGGAAAATTCTTCAAAACATAACAATAAAATTCAAGCACACAGCTGATTTCTAGCGTTAAACGTCGTTGGCTCCATAGAGTTATATTTTTTAAGTTATCCACTCAATGTTATTTAAATGGGTTTCATTACATCACCGAGTGAGTTTTTTGATACTTTACATCACTCGAGAAGTAAGGAAGTTGTATACATCACGCTTAGGATAGGGAAGTTTAACATGGCGGGTTAGGTAAAATATTATATTTATGGATCAGCTGTCTGAAATTGTGAAATAGGCTAAGTAAAACCTTTTACAGTTATGATTGTTTACATTGAAATGTCAACACAAAGGTAACTTAAACACACTAGCGGCTAGTCCCTGCCCACCAAATCTGTTTGGGAGCGAAACTTCTACCCTCCCTCCAGCCCAGCTGTTATTTGGAGGCTTCTGATTGGCTGAGGGAACACCATTACCGCAACAATACGGCATGAAGCCATCGGCCTCGATGGTATAGTGGATGGGTGGCGGGCTGATGAACTGAAAGAGCCGGGTTCGAATCTCACCCGTGACACTATTTTTGTGTCACAGATTTCTTAATTATCAGCAAGTTTGGTTGGTTTGGTTAGGTTATAACAGTTTAATTTTATAATAAAAAAATATAAAATTGAATTTTGGCATTTATAATCCTATATATTAAAACATAACAGGGTTTTTTATTTCACGATTCTGAATCGCCCACTTGACGGATTTTCATGATTTTTGTGTTGAAAGAAAGATAATTTTGAGAACTAGGGAATCTCGAAGCCATAATTTTAGTTTAGGTTTTCAGTTTTTTAGAAATTAAGTTTTAATTTTCAAAAAGTCTAGCAGCCGATGGACGAGTTCAAGTCGTTTTAGTGGTGGTTTAACTAACAGCTGGTTTCTAACTGTCATTGTAATGTTTATGTTACAAGTTGTATGTACCTATACAATAAATTTATTTTTGAAAAAAAAAATACAACCGACTTCAAACGCTCTAAAAAGAATGAATTAATTTCAATAAAGTAAACTTTTGTATTAGTCAAGCTCACGTATTTTAAGTCGGGGAGGCTCTATGATGTTTTTTGATAGCCTACAAAATTGAAAGAGGATGTCCATATTGCAGGTGACTATCTATAACTAAACGTTTTAATCTGCATGTCTTTTTCATAGTTATGCGTTGGGTGTTATTTTATTACCGTAACCAAAGAAGTGTATTCCAAGGAGTACTACAAGGTAGACGACCACTTGGAAGACCAAGTAATGAAAGACATATATTCAGACTGGTATCTTCCTTAGAAATGGCAGGTGATAGAAGAGAACGGGAGGCCAGGATCATTTTAGAGGTTTCGGTGGCCAAGGTGGTAATATAAGGTACGGTTATTTGATAGTAGCCTATGCAGTGGAAGGTGGTATGTAGCTACTGTACTCAAACCCCCAGTGTGTGTGAATCGGCCACCAAGTTGTAAACTAGCGGTTCTGAATCATATTCAGTTTTAATTTATTACTTGATTCCCGTACGTAGGACGGGCCAACAGCTCGTTTTGGCTACACTTTACTTGACGTCCTACACTCATTCGAATGAAAATATCTATCGATATATCGATTAATCGATTGCTTCATTCGATATATCGAATGAAAATATCAAATCGAAAAAAACAAACGAATGAGTGTAGAACGTCAAGTAAAGTGCAGCCCTCGTTTTATTTTAAGAACAAAACTAATTTTTCAATTAGTAAACCTTTATTATTATTATAGTCAATCAGAAGCCTCCAAATGACTCTGTTGGCGAAACTAATCCTGGAATAAAAACTCAGCTGGAGAGAGGGTAGAAGTTTCGCTCCCGAACAGATTTGGTGGACAGGGACTAGCCGCTAGTCTTAAACTTTGTGAATTTTCTCATGCTTCATGGAGACTAATTAGGTTAATAGCCTATTTACTTAATTTTGGGTGTATCGGTTTAGTATTTCAGTCGTGAGAGCCGCACAGACAGACACCACCTCATTTTCATAATAGCCTAGGGCCCAGTAAGTTTGAGTATTTCTTAGCCTATAAGTTAGATCAGTTAAGTAATGTTTAAGTTTGTATTGTTAACCACCTCTGTAGTGTGTTTACAGGGTGAACTACTTTCATATAGTTTAACCTAACTTAGTAAGGCCTAACTTATTATAACTTATAGATGGTTACCTAGGCCAATAAGTTAATAGCAAATTGTATCGAAAATAACTTATGTATAAGCTAATATAATAAATAATAATAATATAATAAATTGCTCACATTGGTAATAATATTTGGGCTCACTGATGAGAAAGCTCAAAGTTATGAAGTAGGATACTGTTCGTAGGCCTAAGTTAATCCAGCTTCAGATTAACATTAGACACCCATTTCCAAGTAGATTACGAGTTGGTTTGATAAAACATGGTTCAACAAACATTGTTTGGATTTATAAGGTTTTCAAGTCCATCTTAAGTCATAATACAAATGTCACTCAGTATACTATACACTAACTTAGTTCAATAATTATTATTTGAAGGAACGAAGGAGAAGGATTAACTTATTAGTTAGTAATGTAGTGGTGGTTTATGAGTTTTGAGGTTAAAACCCGTAGTAACAGTAACTTTTTTTTTAACTTCATGTTTGATTAATTTTTTTAGGTTTTTGCTATCCCTCTTATTGGAGGAGCAGGCTGAAATTTGCTAGCCAAACAGCTTCAAGATATGTTACACTACACTCTTCTCTTATCTTATTATGGATTTGTATTTTTATCTGATATCGCGCTTTTATCCCTGGCTCTTAATGCGGTATTTACTCAGGGGAGGTATAGAAGAGGCTACGATGACAACTGAGGGCTTCTTATTAGCTGAGGGAACGCCATTACCGTAACAAAACGATCAATTGCCGCCATCGGCCTCTGTGGTCTAATGGTTAGCGTGCCGGGCTGATATACTGTAGGTCCCGGGTTCGAATCCCGCCGGCGGCATTAACTTTTTATCCAAGATTTTTTTTTATTTTCAGCAAGTTTGGTTGGTTTGGTTTGGTTATTACAGTTTAATTGTATTATTAAGTCATTATAAAATTTTAATTGAGCAATTTCTAGTTTTATTTTATAAACAGAATTATTTTTCCGATTACTATAAACTTTTGTTATATTATTTCTTTATCAGCAAGTTTGGTTAGTTCGGTTAGGTTATGATAGTTTAATTTTATAATTAAAAATTAATAAAATTGAATTTTAGGCATTTATAATTTTATTTTATGAACAGAACTATTTTTGCGATTAGTAAACCTTCATTGCCAAAGTGCTTTTTACTACAGCGCTGTTCACGGAGGAATTTTGAACTAAATGCCTCATTTGTACCTCCCCTAAGTCAGACCCCTCTTAATGCCTATGCAAAAAATACAAACCAAAACCAGGAAGGTAGTCCAGGACCTGACTAGGGTTCTGTGTGCATGTCGTGTATAGAGAATTTTGCTTTTGTATTTCAATATAGGTGTATTAGGAAGTGTTTTCCACTCGGGTGTCAAGTTCGCACCTGGTACGTTTTCGAGCTATGACGTCATCAAGATGGCGGCTCGACAATTTTTAAATGCGTATATTTCGCAAACCGTTTAACGGATCGGGATGATTCTTTTTTTGTTTGAAAGATATTTTTACAAGCAATCTTTTTTTGTATTTACATATTTGTTGTAAACTTAATATTTACCGCACAATATTGAAAAACGTCGTTTTTATTGTTATTATATTTATTGTTATGCTTATAACTTCTTAACCGCTGATAAAATCAAATACCACCCATTGCAAAAGTTGCAGATAATTCTATACCCTTTCCAATGATATCAAACAATATGTGATTAGACCTAAAAATAAAGCAAAGAGATTGAATAAACCGTAAAAAAACACTGAAAGTGGTGTACGGTCCGGGAAAGATTCAGTCCTGGACATGACTAGGGTTCTGTGTGCATGTCGTGTATAGAGAATTTTGCTTTTGCATTTCAATATAGGTGTCTTAGGAAGTGTTTTCCACTCGGGTGTCAAGTCCGCGCCTGTTACGTTTTCCAGCTATGACGTCATCAAAATGGCGGCTAGGGCAAATTTTAAATGCGTATATTTCGCATACCGTTTAATGGATCGGGATGATTCTTTTTTTGTTTGAAAGATAATTTTACAGGAAAGGTTTTTTGTATTTACACTTTTGTTGTCAACGTAATATTTATCTCACTATATTAAAAAACGTGGTTTTTAATATCATTGTTTTTGAATTTTTCCTCATAGCTTGTTAAACGCTTATAGAATGAAATAACTACCTATTACAAAAGTTTTAGATAATTTTATGCCCTTTCCAACGATACCAAACAATTAATGTTTGAAACTAAAACTAAAGCCAAGAGATTAAATAAACCGTTAACTAACACTTAACATGGTAGAAAGTCCAAAAAATATTGCGGCTGGAACAATTCTTCAAATGCGTATATTTCGCATACTGGTTAACGAACCGGGATGATTCTTTTTTTGTTTGTAAGATATTTTTTAAGCCTATCTTTTTTGTATTTACACTTTTGTTGTTAACCTACTATTTATCCCACAATATTAATAAATGTACATTTAATTGTTGTTTTTATTTTACTTTTGCTTATAACTTTTTGACAAATAGTAGGTTAACAACAAAGGTGTAAATACAAAAAAGATAGGCTTAAAAAATATCTTACAAACAAAAAAAGAATCATCCCGGTTCGTTAACCAGTATGCGAAATATTCGCATTTGAAGAATTGTTCCAGCCGAAATATTTTTCGGACTTTCTACTATGTTAAGTGTTAGTTAACGGTTTATTTAATCTCTTGGCTTTAGTTTTAGTTTCAAACATTAATTGTTTGGTATCGTTAAAAAGGGCATAAAATTATCTAAAACTTTTGTAATAGGTAGTTATTTCATTCTATAAGCGTTTAACAAGTTATGAGGAAAAATTCAAAAACAATGATATTAAAAACCACGTTTTTTAATATAGTGAGATAAATATTACATTGACAACAAAAGTGTAAATACAAAAAAACATTTCCTGTAAAATTATCTTTCAAACAAAAAAAGAATCATCCCGATCCATTAAACGGTATGCGAAATATACGCATTTAAAATTTGCCCTAGCCGCCATTTTGATGACGTCATAGCTGGAAAACGTAACAGGCGCGGACGTGACACCCGAGTGGAAAACACTTCCTCAGACACCTATATTGAAATGCAAAAGCAAAATTCTCTATACACGACATGCACACAGAACCCTAGTCATGTCCAGGACTGAATCTTTCCCGGACCGTACACCACTTTCAGTGTTTTTTTACGGTTTATTCAATCTCTTTGCTTTATTTTTAGGTCTAATCACATATTGTTTGATATCATTGGAAAGGGTATAGAATTATCTGCAACTTTTGCAATGGGTGGTATTTGATTTTATCAGCGGTTAAGAAGTTATAAGCATAACAATAAATATAATAACAATAAAAACGACGTTTTTCAATATTGTGCGGTAAATATTAAGTTTACAACAAATATGTAAATACAAAAAAGATTGCTTGTAAAAATATCTTTCAAACAAAAAAAGAATCATCCCGATCCGTTAAACGGTTTGCGAAATATACGCATTTAAAAATTGCCGAGCCGCCATCTTGATGACGTCATAGCTCGAAAACGTACCAGGTGCGAACTTGACACCCGAGTGGAAAACACTTCCTAATACACCTATATTGAAATGCAAAAGCAAAATTCTCTATACACGACATGCACACAGAACCCTAGTCAGGTCCTGGACTAGTAAGCATTTTTCTAAAGAACAATTTGAGTACTACAATTTTCTTTGAACTAATATTCTTGTAACATGTTAACATTGACTTTAGACAATAGACAATAGACAATAGACAATTTATTCATCGTTCAGTAATTACAAAATTACAATAGATTTCGTCAAACAGAATATATAAATAAAGGTTACTTTTTAAAATCTAGGTCCTTGTTTTTGAATTTAACATCAAAAAAATCATCTATTTTGTACATTGGATTGATTTTACACCACTTTAACAGTTTGTCAGAGATACACATATTATTAACAGACAGGTTTACATATTCTTCTATTCAGAATGTAAGTTGTATAATGTTTAAATGTATGTACAGTAGTTCGTTCTAATCATACGTACTTCTTATAGTCCAATAGACTATTCAAGCAAATTTTATTTACACTATGCAAAAAAGTACATCGTCTTCTGCTGCTCCTTCTCGTCTTCTGCTAGAATCTCAACCTCACTCAACCGTTCAACTCGAGCAAGGAAGAAAGATTGTGAGTGTTGTGATTGTGAGTTGAGTGGATATATAAGGCTGGTTCTGCGTCTGTATTTTGAAGCAAGTTATGGGTTTAGTTACTTTATTTTTTCGTTATTCCAGTTTTTGGAAATAATTTATACTTACCGATTGTGAAACAGTAATTCATGTTGAAATTGAATGTGTTCTGTGAAATTATAGATACCACTCAGGAACCTCTAATGCTTCAGAATCGAATCACTTAGCCTAAACCTTGAATTACCTTACCATGGAGGACACATCTCATATTGTACGAACCATAGAATGGGATATGATGGACAAAACAAAGTTTTTTCCTCTGAGTATGCTCAGTTCTTTTTGTGTCAGGGCAACACTTTATCCATTGACTCTCATTAAAACTAGACTTCAAGTTCAGAAACATGGACAGATGTACACAGGTAAGCTAAGAACTCTAAAACCCTAGCCTTGGAACTGCTTCATACCTAGGATTAAAAGTGATGGGGCAGTATGAAATAGTAGGGGGGTTGCGCCTCCTGACCTTAGAGGGATGGGTATCGGGTACACTTCCATATCTGTTGGCACAAACAACCGAATGAAAATATCGATCGATATATCGATTATTCGATATATCGTTTGGTTAGTTAGGTAAGGTTAACCTAACCTAACAAACCAAACGATATATCGAATTAAACAATCGAATAATCAATATTACTCATTCGGTTGTTTGTGCCAACAGATATGGAAGTGTACCCTGGGTATCTCTGCTCCTTATGTAGTCTGATTAGCTGAACGGTACCGGTTCTGCTAAGTAGTAGGCCTAGGCCTACTGATCACTTTCAAGATTAAGGTGGCTGGTTTAATTCTAAGTGAGCGAAATTGATCTTGTAACCAGATGATATTTGACATCGGGCTCACTTAACTTAAAGATAAGTTAAGTTATCTAAGGGTGTAAACACACAGGCGTAGAGTGTCATAACGTGTCACTCACTCACTCACTCCCATGGCCATTTATGCCCAAGGCGGGATTTGGCCGCACCAACAACTGCTTCCCATCTCTCTCGATCTTCTGCCTCTTCCACTTCTGCCCCCACTTCTCTGATGTCCTTGGAAAAACTATCCCACCATCTCTTCTTAGGCCTTCCTAATGGTCGTTTCCCTTCTGGCTTTCCTATACTTGCTTCTTTTAGTAGTGAACCTTGTTCTCTCCGTAGTGCGTGTCCTGCCCACCTTATTCTCCTTGCTTTCACGTGTGCTACTACATCATAATCATTGTACATATTCCTTATCTCCCTATTATGCCTTTTTCTCCATTCTCCATTTTCTTGTATTGGTCCATATATCATTCTTAAAATTTTGTTTTCAAAAACAATCATTTTGTTTTTTTCTTTTTTATTTAAAATCCAAGTTTCAGCTCCATATGTTTATACTGGTCAAATTATACTATGATATATTTTTATTTTCGTTTTATGTGAGAGAATCTTTGAAGTCAACAATTTCTTACAAGAATACATACATTTATTGGCCTGAGCAATCCTATAATTTATTTCCATTTCTTCAAAATATAATGTGTCAAAAAACAAAAATACGTTCTTTATAATCCGAAGGAACATAAGGAGAGCGGCACAGCACAGCGTGGCTCGTCTTTATTTAACCAGTTGAGTTTGATTTTTTTTGGATTACCAACAAGCGTTTTCCAAGTAGTCCTAGTGATGGGAGGTGAAGCATTTAAGGGTGCACTCTACCTCAGCTCGGAAATCTCAGCTCGGGCTTCAGTAGCAATGTTGTGCCATTGAACAGCGCCGCGAGAAGCGCTTGTAGACGTTCATGGCAACTGCCTTTGTAAACTACCCATACATGCTAGTGAAAACAATGAGTGGGATGTAAGAACAATTATGCGACCCTGGTTTTAGAATTTTAAAGTAACAATTCTATAATAAGTTAAAGCAGTTTGAAATTGCGTATTTTTTTCTGCATTCAAAAGAATGTAAAGAATTCGGTCTTTAAATGGTAGGCCTACAATAATTTAAATATTTTGCAGCCATCATATTTTAGATAGTTTAATTCTCTTCAAAACAACGCCCTAATTTTGATTCTACGTGAAATGTAGCCTTCGGAAACCCTGTTGCCCCAGACCCTTGCGTTTACACAATACGGCGGGGCAGAGCGCACCCTTAAGCACTACAAGAACAGATAGTGCAAGAATGGTTCACCATTTTAGGCACTAGGTACCAGTATTGATTAACTTATCATACTAGCACTAAGGTAATTAAGTAGGTAAATATAAATGTGAAGGTTTGTGTGTTTGTTTGTTTGATATTCAATTATGCATTAACTTCTGGTCGGGTTGGGGTTGGGCTGATATTTGGCTTGATAGCTCATATTCCTGAGTAACATATAGGCCTAAGCCTATTCTTATCTCAAAAATCCTTTTGGGAAAAATCCTTTTCATCAACTTAATATAGGCCTGTAGCCTACTATATCGACACTCGTCGAAGTTTTTAAGGCACTCGCCAAGGCTCATACCTTAAATTTCTACTTGTGTTGTTATTAAAACTACCTTTATGTGCTTATTGTGTAAACTACTATTACAATTTTCTTTTTGGAATATGTTTAAAAAAATTGTTTTTCTTTGGATTACTGAGGTGTTGTTGTTCTAGGTATGATTGATGCTGCTGGTAAGATTTATACAACTGAGGGGTTCAATGGTCTCTATAGAGGATTCTGGGTCAGTTCAGTTCAGCTGATTTCAGGAGTGATGTACATTGCCACATATGAAGGTGTTAGGCACATTCTTACTCAGCATAATGCCAGTGCTTCCACAAAGTCACTTGTTGGAGGAGGTTGTGCATCTGTTGTCGGACAAACTATCATTGTGCCATTTGACATATTATCACAACATCTTATGGTTCTTGGACTAGCCCAGGCTGCCAAAGGCAGCAAAAATAAGGTAGGTGTTCTTTTTTTATGAAATAAAGCCTCATTTTTAAAAACAAAGATCACATGTCTATTTGAGGGGATATATTGAATATTTTATATTTGCATTCTGGCTCCTCTTATTACTATTACCTACAACTGTTTTTTTTAACTAGCCTTTTCGATTCCGTTCTTAGAATCAACTTAACACATTGTTTACTTACTTAACACTATTTTTTTACTTAACAACACGAGTAACGGACCAATGAGGTTCAATATTGAGAGAAAAGATGTAAAATCGTGATGCTTCGAACTTCAACTAATCAGCTGTTTACCAGTTTAATTGTTAATGAGTGGTGCAATTAGTGTTTGGTACAATAATCACTGTCAGTGGCAATGAGAGGTTATAAACGAAAACATAACCTCTCTTATCTAGTTATGAGTAGTAATTGCTAGTACGTTAGAGCATCAAAAATGCGAACCACTTGAGACCGTATGTACTTCAGATACCGATTTGTTCGGATTTTCAAACATAACCTAGAAATGCCTAATTGGCACATAATTAGGCATACAGTATTATAAATACAGTTCTAGGATACAGTAAATAAAATAAAAAGAATGGAGTTTGTACTTAGGTATTTTCAGTACATTTCTGTAGTTTGTTTCTTGAAAAAATATGTAGAGTTTATAGATTCAAAACGAACAAAACACTGACTGGCGCGCATTCACTCATTTCCCCACCGGATGCCTAGGACTGGTTTGCCTGTGAAATTGTAAAACATCTGTTGTCTCTAGGTGCTAATTCAATATTTTTTAAACCCTCAGGAGCCGTTCAGATTTTTGACGTTCAGATTTTTGAAGCTCTACTGTAATTAAAAAACTGTTGTAGGTAAAGTAGTGTATGCAACTCGTATAAATACTCAAAGAATCTTGTGACACTCGTTGAAGTTTTCTTACCTTAAATTTCTACACGTGTCGTTAACACTATCTTTAGGCGATTCTATTCGCCTATTGGGTCTGATGATTGAAGTGTCCAATCAAAGTCGATCACCACTTACCACCTTTTATATGTATTTACCGCCTTGTGAGTCAACCGTATAAGTGTAAATATATTATTACAAGTGTTATTAGACATGCCTACATCTTTTTTGCACTAGCCTAAGTAATACAGATAGTAAAACCATTATAACTCAACACCTGGTAACCCGACAGTCAACAGCTGACAGGGCATACGAGAAAAAGCATTTTTTTTAGAACATTTAGTTTTAATTGTTGAATATTCTAAATTTCTTTGAAGATTGTTTACTCGGTATGTAAAATACTCATTTAAATAAAAAATTTATGAATAAAAATTAGTCTTGTGTATTCATTCATTAAAACTTAAAACCCATTAAAAATTTCAATGTTCTGGATAACTTGACAACCTCCAAACTTGACAACCTCTGGGTCCACAAATTATCTAGTAAGTGGGGTTTTACTGTACACACCCACATGCACTAAAATGGTACACTAAGATTGTAAGACATACAAACAGGCACTGAAAGAGTACACTCTCTCAGCTAACTATTTACAGATATCTGACCCGTAAATCATCATTTTTAACAGCTAGGTTATGTTTCTGACATTTCCATTTCAAAACATTAATTAATTTTGTCATGATAAAAAATATATTTTGGATATGAGACTCACCTGCAGAAGTAGGTGGAACAAAATGTTATCAGAAGGAGTGGATTATCGGCATCATACTAAACTGCTTTGATAGTTAGGAAGGTTTTTGGCCACCTTCCAGCCCATTTTTGACAGTGTTTGAAATTATATTTACCATATTAAAAGAGTTGAACACTTTGAACATGCTCTTATTATTTTATTACTTTACTCTTTTGCAGACCAATTTAAACCCTCTGGGAGTATCATTGGAACCAGGAAAAACCAAGTTACGTTTAACTCTTGACATTGCACAAGCAATCTACCGTAATGATGGAATCAGAGGATTTTACAGGGGATATATAGCATCTTTGTGTACCTATGTTCCAAACAGTGCCCTGTGGTGGGCATTTTATCACGTCTATCAAGGTAAGTCCCATGACTCTCATGTATTTGTAAATATGGTATATGAACTCAACAATATTTTCATAACCTAAGTTTTCTATGTGCATAATCATAGTGTAGGCTATTAATTATAAAACTGATAAAAAGGCATATGACAAGTCAGTAGCGGCTGGTGTTCACAGGTGGTGGAAGGGCTCTGCATATTTTTATATAGGCCTATAGAGGAAAGCCTAATATCATTCACGTTTGTCAAAGAATTAAAAAAAAAATAAGGCTTAAATTTGTAATACAAACACACATACTTCATTGTAGGTGTTAGCCTCTGGATTGCCAAATAATATTAAAAAAGGTTCAAATACCTGCTATTAAGCAATCCAACGTTGTTGTAAACACAACTAGTTTCGGTGCTTGTGTTGCACCATCATCAGGCTGTACAAGGACAGTGTCATATCTATAAGTATAAAAGAGGATGTTTGTATATATATTTGTTTGTTTGTTTGGCAGTGATAAACTCAGACACCGCTGAACCGATTGCCACGAAACTTGGTACATACGTGTAGAATGTCATGGAATAGGTTTATACACCATCAATTTCGTGATCCGTCCAATCGGCTCCGCCCCAGTGGCTCTGGAGTTTCCCATGTTAACCTTATAAGAAATGGAATTAATGAATCTTAACAGCTGTTTCAATTAAACAAGTTGGTTCTGTTCTATGATGTTCAATAGCATTAAAGTTACAAGGATTACCAACAGGGTGCAGCACTATTATTTCTTTTACATTTATGACAACAGCTAATTTGCAACCAAAAGGTGAGGGAGCGTAGCGAACAAACTTCAACCTGGAGGCGAGTTAGCGTAGCGAACGAGCTAACCTGAAGGCAAGTGAGCGTAGCGAACGAGCTAACCTGAAGGCAAGTGAGCGCAGCGAACGAGCTCCAACCTAAAGGTGAGTGAGCGTAGCGAACGAGCTCCAAACAGGACGTGATTGAGCCATGCAAACGAGATCATCTTGAAAATTAAGAAGTTAAACGGGGCAAAGCCCGCGGGATTATAAATAGTCAAAGGCAAGACAACGTCTGCCGGGTTCAGCTAGTTGTTTATAAAAAAATAATAAATAGACTTTTAAACACTACACAAATACAAATACGAGACATCTATGGTACGGTAACTGATCAGTTAAAAAAACAGACGACGCTAACCTGGCGGAGTTTGAGTCCAGACTGCGGGTAGTCAGTGCAATGGTGTACGTCCGTTATCTTATCATCCCAGGTTGCGTCCTGTCAATCACACTTCCCCTCTCCAGTAAACCGATGGCAGTGTCATACATAAAATTAGACGAGAAAAATTGTTGGTCATTGAGTACATTTTGGTGGTCGGATTTTACTACATTATATATCTCAAACTCTTCCAAGGTGTTATGTTGGCCTGGGGAAGTTCCAAATAAATAAATACTAGTGTACCTGTTGCTTGAATTCGAGCAATTGCGAAGTATTACAGGCGACTCAAAGATTATGGAAATACTCACGATCTACACAACAGTTAGATATAATCAAAATCTTTTGTTAATATCTTATCTTTTTCCAAAATGCTGATCTTGTTTTTTGAGCGTTTTTAGTGTGAAAAAATATTATTTCTATTTTTTCTACTTGGTTGTGTTCTATGACTTTTTCTATGTTTCCATTGTTTGCAAATCGGTTATTTCAGTGATTGCTCAAGAAATGTAGCAGTGTTAATTCAGTTTTATTTTTAGCCTATATCAAATTGTCCAGGATTTCCATTGTAATAATTACACCAACCCAAGTTTCGTCTACAGATGCAATATGCCAAAGAATATCACCTACGTACAATCTCGAAGAAGTGGTAAAAACGGCAAAAACCAACCAATACAATAGATATAAGTTAACTTCATAAGAAATAATTTCAAAAGTTACTGTGATATTAGGATTTTCCACTGATTTGGTAATAGAACATTATATTGCAAAACATGATACAATGCAGAAGAAAATCAATTTTAAAATCAGAAAGATCCATTGCAAATACTGTACTTCATTTTGACAAATTCAATAAATCACAATTTAAATATTAACAGCTGTTGCATTAGAAAGTAGTGTAGAATTATGCATATGGTCGTAATGTAAACAAATCTGAAGAGGTAACTTTAAAGGCTTCTGGGGCAGAGCCCCAAGGGTATTTACTTCTTTCCTCTTTTGATGGCTCATCTACAGACCAAGACCTTTCTTTAGAGACCCCTACCAAGTTTCTACGCCCAGCCGTTCTTTCAAATTAGCTGTGACAAAAACCCTGTTTTCCTCCATAAGAATAACATGGGATGGGAATTTAAAGGCCACGGGGGCAGAGCCCCAAGGGAATTCACCATGTTTCTCTTTTGATGGCTCATCTACAGACCAGACCTTTCTTTAGACACCCCTACCGAGTTTCTACGCCCAGCTGTTCTCTCAAAATAGCTGCGACAAAGAAAAACAGTTTCAAATTAATATATAGATTTACTAGCTGTACCCGCGGGCTTTGCCCCGTTTAACTTCTTAATTTTCAAGATGAGCTCGTTCGCATGGCTCAATCACGTCCTGGTTGAAGTTAGTTCGCTACGCTCACTCACCTTTAGGTTGGAGCTCGTTCGCTGCGCTCACTTGCCTTCAGGTTAGCTCGTTCGCTACGCTAACTCGCCTCCAGGTTGAAGTTCGTTCGCTACGCTCACTCACCTTTTGGTTGCAAATTAGCTGTTGTCATAAATAAAAAAAAATAATAGTGCTGCACCCTGTTGGTAATCCTTGTAACTTTAATGCTATTGAACATCATAGAACAGAACCAACTTGTTTAATTGAAACAGCTGATAAGATTCAAAGATTCATTCATTCCTTTAAAGTATGAAAAATCATAAGGTTAACATGGGAAACTCCAGAGCCACTGGGGCGGAGCCCGAGGGTCCGATCAGAATAAAAACAACTTAGTTTTCCTATTTAATACCTAAAGAATCGGTGTACCAAATTTCAGCCTCCTAGGTAAATGGGAAGTGGGAGAATTAGTGATGAGTGAGTGAGTGAGTGAGTGTGTCAGTGAGGGCTTTGCCTTTTATAAGTATAGATTTCCCCTTGTGATGGTTCATCAGTCAATGTACCTGGCATTGTTATATGTATGCTCTGTGTGATGTTGGCCTGGGGAAGTTCCAAATAAATATATATTTATTTCCCCTTGTGATGGTTCATCAGTCAATGTACCTGGCGTTGTCATGAGTAGGCTCTGTGTGATGTTAACCTGGGGAAGTTCCAAATACTATGTATTTCCCCTTGTGATGGTTCATCAGTCAGTGTACCTCACGTTGTCATGAGTAGGCTCTGTGTGATGTTGGCCTGGGGAAGTTCCAAATAAATATATATTTATTTCCCCTTGTGATGGTTCATCAGTCAATATACCTGGCGTTGTCATGAGTAGGCTCTGTGTGATGTTAACCTGGGGAAGTTCCAAATATGTATTTCCCCTTGTGATGGTTCATCAGTCAGTGTACCTCACGTTGTCATGAGTAGGCTCTGTGTGATGTTGACCTGGGGAAGTTCCAAATAAATATATATTTACTTCCCCTTGTGATGGTTCATCAGTCAATGTACCTGGAGCATTGTCATGTGTAGGCTCTGTGTAATGTTGGCCTGGGGAAGTTCCAAATAAATATGTGTTACCCCTTGTGATGGTTCATCAGTCAATGTACCTGGCGTTGTTATGTGTAGGCTGTGTGTGATGTTGGCCTGGTGAAGTTCCAAATTAATATGTATTTCCCCTTGTAATGGTTCATCAGTCAATGTACCTGGCGTTGTTATGTGTAGTCTGTGTGTGATGTTGGCCTGGGGAAGTTCCAAATAAATATGTATTTCCCCTTGTGATGGTTCATCAGTCAATGTACCTGTCGTTGTTATTGTTTAGGCTGTGTGTGATGTTGGCCTGGGAAAGTTGTAATCCTATAAGAACCTAATTAAAAAAAAACCTAAATCACGTCACTCTCGACCGCCCAACTAATCATCCAATTCAACCCGAAGCCTTCCCTAACTATAACAATAATTTTAATATTTATAGTTTGAACAAATTTATATGTTACTAGCTGAACCCGGCAGACGTTGTCTTGCCTTTGACTATTTATAATCCCGCGGGCTTTGCCCCGTTTAACTTCTTAATTTTCAAGATGATCTCGTTCGCATGGCTCAATCACGCCCTGGTTGAAGTTCGTTCGCTACGCTCACTCACCTTTAGGTTGGAGCTCGTTCGCTACGCTCACTCACCTTTAGGTTGGAGCTCGTTCGCTGCGCTCACTTGCCTTCAGGTTAGCTCGTTCGCTACGCTCACTTGCCTTCAGGTTAGCTCGTTCGCTACGCTAACTCACCTCCAGGTTGAAGTTCGTTCGCTAAGCTCACTCACCTTTTGGTTGCAAATTAGCTGTTGTCATAAATGTAAAAGAAATAATAGTGCTGTACTCTATACACAGGACAGTAGTTCTTTATTGTATACTATATATTGATATACGCGCCATAATTATTTCAATTGTAATGTACAGTACTGTTTTCCCCTTTGTTTACTACTGTATTAAATAAACACTGTATTTTACTTTATAAAGCATTTTCCACTTTTCCCTAGCTATTGTTATGTAAAAACAACAATATGTTCTGTAATCAAAACTATTCAATAGTCCAAACTACCCCCGGTCCCAATTAGTTTGGATTAAAGAGGTTCTACTGTACAAACATCCTCTTTTATACTTATAGATTAACAAATTTAGCCACCCTGACTGACTCCCCGACCGTTTTTTAAAGTAGCCGTTTCATTTCAGTTCTTAGAAATTGAAAAGTTTCTCATAAGAGCATTGTTAAATATCCACATTTTAACTTTAAATTTAAGCTCCCATATTGTTAGCTTTGTCTGGTTATCTTGCTAATGTTCTATTTCTTAGTACATAAACATTGTAATTTGTCACAATGACTGCCTAGTCACATCCCTTTGTTTGTCCATGGCCACTGGTAGATGAGCTAGGCAAGGTGCTGCCTGACGACACTTCACACCTGTTGATCCAATGTGTGGCTGGGACTCTAGGTGGCTTTACTACCACCCTCATCACCAACCCCATGGACACCATCAGGGCCAGGTTACAGGTAAGCATAGAACTCACAAGTTGAGGTAGAAGCAGCATTATCCACCTCTTATGCAGCCAGTCCAGTACAATAACCTGAAGTTTAGTCAAAACTCCTTTTCTTTGCATCTTGTTAAACCAAAATCAAAGTTAACCTAAATTCAAATTGATTAAAAAATTACCTAAGGAACTGTCCGTGGCAGTGGTAGGTAGCTCAGGTTAGCCAGCTAACGAAATGTAACGCAGCAGACAATGACATGGAATACATTCCGCTCTCCGTGCCTAGGAAATCCCAGCTTAAATTGGCCTTTTCCCCATTATTTTTGTTAATAAGGTTTTTATAGTACTTAAGGCCGATTCACACATATCAGTAATGGCACGTCACAGTCAACCAAAATATTCCTTAATAGATTTTTTATTGCGTTATCTACACTCATCCGGCGTCAATCAGTCAATTTCTGATTTCTTCTCAAAGATAATTTTAGATTGTTTGGACCCCTGGCTGACGTGTTTGAGGTTAGAAAATAGTATTTTAAATTTAAATCAGTGTGTTTGTATTTTAAGTACTGTTTGTAGCAATCAACAAAATACTTACTTTACTTACTTCCGCAGCTCTACAGGCATTGGTGGCCTTTGGCTTCCACTACAATTCGCATTTAACAAAATGGTTGTTGAAAATTGATAGAATATTGTGTTTTAATTCAAATGTTTTGAATGTAACATCACTGTAAATGAAGTGATGGAAGACTGACTGAAATCAAATGACTGACAGTTTGACTGAGAAATTACGGATGCAACTGAGACTGAACTATGTAACTGGACTATAACGGAATTTTGACTGCACTGATATGTGTGAATTAATCTTTTAAGTGCTCAGGAGAATCAGGAATTGAACATTTAGCACAAGCACTAAATAGTTCTTAAGTCTGTAGTACTAACAGACTATGTAGCAAACATACCCGAGATTCAACAATTCTTTACATGCGTAGTTTCCATTTTAAATTGTATTCGAACATTTTGTGGTGTGATTCAATTTAATTATCATAAATAGATCTGATATATTTTATAAATATTGTAGAAAATATATGTTTCTCAATTCTACAAAGGTAACAGTCGTATGTGTTCAACACAGGTGCATCGAACAAACACTATGATGAAGACATTCCAGACCCTGTGGAGTGAAGACGGCATTCGAATGTTGAGCAAAGGTCTATCTGCGAGACTGGTACAATCAGTCTGCTTCAGCTTCTCCATCATCCTGGGTTACGAGACAATAAAACGCATTAGTATAAGACAAGAATATAAGGAACTTGTGCGATGGTAGCATTTATACATTTTATTTTGTTAATTTTTTATCATTAATATTATTGTTTATATTTAGGATTGCATAATGTTTATGCACAAGTTACCGAAATAGTGTAGGGTGTGTATAATGTTATTATATGTGTACCTATTGTAATAAATATATTTATTTTAATGTTTCTTTTTACACTTTGTATTTAAATCTCTCTCCATATATATTTAAAATTTTGATATTTAGACATTATGTTTGGTGATTTAAAACTGTTTAACTAATAGCAAGGCAACACTAAATAAACAGGCACCAATGCTCCTCAGGCATGACGTCATCATAGGCAACGACAATGACGTAATGTTATTTTTTTAGCTATAGTTTTAGTTTTCCAAGAAAAGATTAAAACAAGCAGCTGGTATCAAACAGCAAAAATTACGTCTTTGCTGTAGCCTACGATGACGTCATGCCAGAGGAACATTATGGCCTGATTATTTAGTGTGACCTTGCTAATAGCCTACATATGATATGTCTTGAGATTTTCAAAGAAAGAATCCAATCCAAACGTTTTACTTCAAAGAATCTATTTGAGACATTCAAATGTTTCAATAACCAAACAAATGAGAAACAAATTTGTACAAGAAAGAGTACAACTTCAGACAACATTTCTATGTTCTAGATTTTGCTCCAGTAGTAAAGCACAGGTACCACAGCACAGGTAATACTGTTATGAAAAGAAATGTTTAGAAACCAAATTTATATGGTTTTATTCAACTTAAAAATTTGCTACATTTTAAATGAGAGAATCAACACAAAACTGTAAACATTACATACATAAACAAAACAGTCTTAAAACAGCTAATGAAATATTTGACAGTACAATAGAAATCAGTACAATAGAAGCTTCAGGGGTAAAAGCGAGATGTCGCACCGATACCAGAGCCTCTCTACCATCTCTATACTTGTGGCGAGCATAGTCTGGATTAGCCTCTTCAGCTGAGCTTGTTCCACTAAAGGTTCATATTTGTTATTTCTTACATGCCTTCTCACTAATACTGGTCAAGGATTCATGAGCCATTGAGGTTGAGAGGGGCCATAAAATGATCGTCTCTGGTGTTTGAAAAGACGTTCATGTGGGGTCTCATTCGTAGCTGTACATAGTAACGAGCGTACACAATGCAAAGCTTCTGTCTTCAGTCCCTTGTTTCTCAGAATAAGAGACACAGTCTTCCAAATCATTCTATTATATCGCTCAGCTTGAGAATTACCTTGAGGGTTATAAGGTGAGGATCGGCTTGTGGCGATTCCTTTTGAGTGTAAGAAATCACTCAGTTCTTTTGACATGAAAGCAGAACCTTGGTCGGAGTGGACAAAAGCAGGCATACCAAAGATGGGGAAGATTGATGTAAGTGCTTTGATGACAGAAGATGCTGATGTGTCTGAGCAAGGAATAGCAAACGGATATCTTGAAAACTCATCAACAACCGTCAGTATATATTTATTCCTTGTCACAGATGGTATTGGCCCCTTAAAATCAATGTTAAGTCTCTCGAAAGGAGCCATTGCATGGATGAGTGTTATGGGGTTTTTTGGTAGAACCGAGGTTTCACTTCCGCACAAACAGATCATGAAGCGGTCATTCGCCTGACATCTTCGATAGAGTAAGGGAGTTTTTTACTTTTTAAGAAATGAACCATCCGTACTATTCCAGGATGTCCAATGTCAAAATGAATTTTATGGAGTTTCTTCGGAATCTTTACAAGAGATGGAAGATGAAAATTGTGAAAGTGCATCTTCTACTACATTTTCCTTGCCAGAACGGTACACTATGTTGCAAGAGAAAGGTGCTAGTTCCAATCGCCACTTTAAAATCTTGTTGTTTTTAACCTTTCCCGCGTGTTTCTGATTGAACATATAGGACACAGATTTTTGGTCTGTAATAAATTTAAACCGTCTTACAATCAGGAAATGCCTCCATTTCTGTATTGAGTCGAATATTGCGAGGGCCTCTTTTACCACATCAGGTAGGTGTTGTTCACTCTTAGTTAGGGTTCTTAAAAAATAACATATTGGCCTTCCAGCTTGTGAAAGGGTAGCTGCTATAGCTGATTCATATGTATCTGTTTCTACAGTAAATGAAATATTCTCTTCAACTGCAGACATACTGGAGTTTGCTATTTCTTCTTTTAATGTCTTAAAAGCCAATATTTTTCGGGCTTTTTTTAGTTTCAGCCTACTTGGAATGATTTGACTGTAGTAAGACAATGATCCTTCTCAGAGAATTTAGGAATCCACTTTGCGTAATAGGACAAACATACCAAGAGCTCTTTTGAGGCTTGCATTATCAGTTGGAACGCGGAATTTCAAGAGTTGCAAGAGTGGAATTCCAAGCGGTCAGGATCAGGACGCATGGACATGTTTTCTACAATATACTCCAGAACTGGAATGCTGGTCAACGAAAACTTAGATTTTTCTTTGTTCAGGGCAAGATTATACGTTTTAGTTGCTTCCATGAATCTCTGAAGGTTTTAATAGTTTTCTGTTTGGTTATGACCACAAATAGTTAACATCGTCCAGCTAAGCAAACCTGTCTAGTAGATTCTCAGTTTCTATAATCTGGCCAATATAGTTCTTTCAAAACCCACTACACCATTAGTTACGCTGAAAGGAATTTGAGTGTATTGGTAAAGTCTCCCATTAGCTTCAAATACAGTGAATGGTTTATCTTCATTCCGAATAGGTATTTGGTGATATGCCTCCTTCAGATCGATTATACTGAACACTTTATATTGAGCAATAGAGACAAATGATTCAATAGTAGAGGGAATGCATCAAGCTGTGTGAATTTGTTGATATTTTTAAGCTTGAGTATAACTACAATAGGTACATATTTACACAATCATCCACATTTATTATTTATACGATGCTAAACAACGTAAAAGGGGTATTAGCATTGTTTAAATGGGGAAAGTGGTCATGCATTACGAAAAGAACATATTTCTCTGTTATTATTTATCCAATCTTAACAAATAAGGTATCATTGAAAACTAAATAAAATTTACTAACTTTTTTGTCTCTTGCAATCTTTTTGTTAAGTTCAACGGTTTTCGTGAAATCAAATATTTTAAATGGCTGCCATTTTAAAATGGTAAATTATTTTTTAATATAATTTTAAACAAGGTCTTAACAAGATAAACATTTATGCAAAATCTCAACGCTGTATCTCCAACCGTTTAGAAGTTATTAATGGTTTTGTAATACAGATAGACGGAAAACTAGGCAGTACAGACCCATGTTCCTATGGTAAAATGTGTTTGTCTTGACCTAAGCAATCACATATATACATATGTCCAGAGAGTTACGGAACACCCTGTATATTGATAAAATTTGCCAAATTTATTTATTTCGCCCATTCGTGAAACATTTGGTTGACAAATTCTTGTTACCTTCTCCATAGCAGCTTTGACTATTAATACAACTTCTGTATCCAATAGTCAATGATAGCAGCAAACGTATGTACTTTTTAAATATACTAATCTTAAAATGGGAAATATTTTTGTTTTGTTTTATGGAAATATATAGGCTAAGTTCCTATATATTTCCTATTGGAACTATGGATCCAATTAGGCAAATTGAAATTCGCTTAGTTAAAAACTTAAATAATGGTGAAAAGGAGAGTTCCCTATCTTTTCTCTATCTGAAATGGTGCCAATATTACCATTTAAATTGTTTTTCCTCATGTTTTTAATGTGTGGACTTCAATACATTTGACGGGCTACCTTCCATGTCAGCTACACGACTTTTTAATTATTCACACTTTAATCAGGTTTTGACTACAAAATAGAATTTAGACGAAAAATGATCATGGCAATATCGGACTTCCTTTCGAGATTCCCTAAAAACATTCAAATGCCAGCATGGAGCAGAATGATGTTTTCTATATGAACCAAATTGCAACAATCAACCTAAACCATAACCTTGCTCAAGAAACTAAAAAAGATGAAAACATGCAACACTTGCTACTAGCTTTGGAAACTGGAAAATCGCTGGAGCACTATGGTTATCACGATGGTGAGCTACATGATAGTTGTATCATGAAATGTTGGAGGGTGATGATTCCTTGATCATTATATAAACATGTCCTCGAGTATGTCTACAGTTAATTGACATGTATATATTTCACGACGTCGCATACACACTGCCACTGCGCTGCACACAGTCGATATGTGTGAAAGAGGCTTACCGCTCTATCTCCGCGTCAACGTCAACACTCAACACTGTCAATTGATATTTATATCGTTCGCTGGTCGTCTGGTTGCACAATCCAATTCCAGGGAAACGGTACAGAAGGAATTCGTCCTATTTTTTTAGGGTTCAAACGGCATTGATCCTCGCCGTGATAACAAAATCGATCGGTTTGTAGACCCTTCGTAACAGCTTATGTGCATTTTAAATGTTTAGAATATGTAAATAATTCTAAAATAATAATAAAATAACAGTGACGCGCTCTATGGTTTCTATTTTAAGCTGGGTAAAACTCAATGAGATGATACATGTGGTATTTAGCTTTGTTACTGACTAATATCTGCTTGTTATTGTCTGGGTAGCCGCGAGTGGTTATAGTGCTCGCCTTCAAACCTGGACTGGAGGTCGCTGGTTCGAATCCATGCAGGATCGTTTCCAGACCCAGATGCCATTTGTCATTGGGCTATGAATTAAGGATACTATCTAACAAAAAATCGAATCGAATAAATTAATTCATAGTATCGTAACTATTCTAAGTAACGTTTAATGTCGTCATATCCAGGCACTCAGAAACTCATAAATTACAAAATAGTATATTTCATCTCTAGAGTGACAAGAGATTTTGTACCTGTGTGATGAACCATATTTTTCGTCATATTGCACCATTGTAATGGTGCATAAATAAGCTAAGCAAGTTAGAAAATATACACGGATTAAAATGGATGTTTTTGATGAATTAGGGTGAAAAAATATAAACTAAAGAAGTTCAAAATTAAACTGTTCATTAAGGAATAACAACAGTTTAATCGGGCTGCTTAGTTGTCTCACACATTGAATTGGTTAGATTTTAGCCAACTTATATTCTTCACGTCATAATTTAATTACGTTCACGGTACAGTATGGGACAAAACACTAGCGAAATAGGAATGTAACTCGTTAACGATAAATTTGTTACCAAGTATCTAGTGTGAGAGTAAAACAATTCAAAGTTGTAAAAGTGATTGT